TTGTTGGTTTATGCCGGATATATCCATCTCTGTCAAATATGAAAAATTGAAAATTGATCTCATGCAAAAGTTATGTACCAGCTCTGTCAAATATATATGTGTTCTTACCGGAGATCTGCTGTAGTGATGATCCGCCAAGTAAGATCGGTGAGCCTCCTTCACTGGTACGTTGGTGCTCCAAGATGGGGGTGGTACCTGCAAAAGAGACTCTGATGTCAAAGTTAGGATTTGTATGAGTATGAGTCTCGTATAAGTAATGCACGTACCTTAGTGTGAATTAGGATTGCGTTGGGCCTTGGGCCCGATGATCCGGTTTCAGAACGGGCCGTTCTGGGTCCAGGTATTTTCAAAAAAATTATCATCCACGTGGCATCCACGTGGCCAAAAGTTAACTCCGTTTAAATAATTTGGACGGAAGTGCCACATTAAAACTACTTAATTAATTTGGGACTAAATTGAAACCAATTAATTAGTTTGGGACCAAATTGAAACCAAAAATAAAAGTGAGACTAAATTGAAACAAACAATTAATATAAGGGACCAAAATAGGGTTTTAACTTTTAACCTTGATTTTTTTTAAAACATTTGTTTGTTAAAAATAATTAATAATTAATTAACATCAACGAATTACGGTGTGTAAATCTACAATAATGATTATCATTACATAAAGTAAGATTATGAATCACAAAAATATTAGAATGGCTAAAGTTGTTTATGTTAGGATGTAAGTAAAGTCTCACATCATTCAAATAAAGACATGTATTTATATATACACAATTGTCTTTATTAATAGAAAGGTCTTTTTGGATGATGCACAACTGTTTAACCTTTCATTTTTTTTTCATGAGTTATATATACATAATGTTGTACAATAAAATATAAAAACTACGCATAGATTTTTATTTTCTATGATAATATGAAAAAAAAATACACTTATATTCTCTATATTTTTTTAAAATTGTATTCAATATCCTTTTATAATTTAGATATATGATAAGATCTATTAAAAAAAAATGTTACGCAAATCTCTTGACCCCAAAAATGCTTGTGAGGTGAGATGCATATGATTTTTAATGAATTTTTCTTTCTCGAAAATGCTCTCATCTTCTCCAATCATTCTCAGTAACAATATATAGATGGTCGGGTTAACAATTTCTAATCATTTAATGAGTAGCAAAGATCCTGAATATACAAAAATGGAAAATTAATTGGTTATTCCATGCAATAGGTATGACTGACAACTTCAATTATATGAACTATCTAAATTTAACATACTTACTTCTTGTTGTGACACTGTTTGTCCCATGCATTGAGTATATTTCAGGGGGGAAATTTGTTGAAAGAGATACATTAAAATTGAAAGGCCAATCAGCAATAATGCCCGAGGTTTGCTCTCATGACATGATTGTGCATTAAGTTGTGAATAAAAGCTATCATGTACTAATATGATGTGTATATTATTTTTCTCTATTGTCTTGCTAATGTTGTGAAACCAAAAGCAAAGTCAGAAAATCCTACTCTTGAAGCAAAGGCCGAAGCAGATGCATCAACTAATTCAGTAGCAAAAATTGACCATGAAAATGCAATTCCTACACATAAAGCAAATGTTTTAATTCCTTGATGGTTTACAAATTAAGCAAATTAGCCAACTATCCCTCTTAAGAGGAGGAAGCACGTGAGGATGGAGGTGTAAGTGGCAATGGTGTAGTTAAGGAAGTTGAAGGAGACTAAGGAGAGGGAGAGGTAAGAGAAATAGTTAGAGAAGATAAGGATATTTTAGAGAGAAAAAAATTCACTGAAGTCATGTACAGGTTATGACATGCATCTTTGGATTCAGGACAGTTCCATGTAACATTTATTTATTTTTTAAAGAATCTTACTATAAATTTAAATTATGAAAAAGTATTAAGTACAATTTTTAAAAAAATATATGGACACTAACATAATTTAATCTATTAAAATTTGTTCTGACTATGATAGAAGTGGAATAAAAAAAAAAAAGCATTACTAATATTTATTTTTTGTGAAAATGATTAAAAGCTCTTGAAAAGAAAATAATCTTTCTAAAAAAAAACAGAAAGTTCTGAGGTCTGTTATGGGGGAAGGAATTTGTCATAAAAAAAATTATCTCTAATTAGTTAAATAAAATAATTATTAATTTTAAAATATTTATTTCACTATAAATTAATCATAATATATATTTACTTTATTTATACACATTTATTTATTTTTTTATGAAGATTAAGTATTATTATTATTATTATTATTATTATTATTGTGAAAAAAGAAAATTTCATGATTACGTAACTCTATTATAAAAATATTTGTGTGTGAATATTTTAAATTTTAAAATTTTTAAACTGATACAATTTATAGTTATAAAAATTAGAGGTGAATATTTAAACCAATCTACTATCGCATTCTAATTTTATTTACCATTTTAATTTTTTTTATAACAATTTAATTTTGCTTGTAACATTTTTCATTATAGAAGAGAGTTTTAAGAGATTAAATTGTTAAAATTTGTCTCTTTAAAATTAAAAAAATCTTACAATTAATTAATCATTTTTTTATTTAATATTTTAATATTTGTATTTTTTATTAATAAATTATAGAGCTTAATTTTAAATAATATTAAAAAATCTTACTTTGTTTATATACACAAAATGACTAAATGAATGAATAAAAACATATATTGTTATGTAGAAAGCAAAAACGAGATAAATAGAATGTAAACAAAGAAGAAAAAAAAAAAGGTGAGCCAATTCAGACCAATTTGACCAAAAAAAAAATGAATTTTTAATAAATTTATTAAATTGGGGTTGCAGATTGGTTGTATCAAAGCTCAATCAGTTAATTAAGTGACGTAAATCATCTAACACTCATGTTAACTCAAATTAATATTTTGAATTATTTAATTAAGACTTAAATATATTTTTAAGTTATTTTAAAATGAACAAGTTTTGATTATGATTTTTTTTTGCAAAATCTTCTCTCTATTTTTCATTTTTATAAAATGTATAAGCATTATTTTTTTATTCTCATAAAATGAACAAAAAAATTGATTTTGATCCTTGTAATTTATTTTATTTATTTTCATTTCCTAAAATTTAAAGTCATTATTATTTGTTCTTGATGATTATTTTAAAATATATAAATAAACATATATTTTAAGGATCTATAAACTTTTTAAAAATAATATATGGTGACAAAGTAAATTATAAATACAATCTGAGACGATTACTTGACTTATAAATAATCTTATAAATAGTTAAATATAAATACATAATAATAATAAAGAATTACATAATAATAAAGATTAAAAATATAATTTCAAATTTTAGAAAAATTAAAAATTTAAAAAATTTACAGAGATTAAAATTAAAATCTATTCATTTTTTCAAGATCTAAAAATATGTTTAAATGTTAACTTAATTGCTTATATCATTCAAAATTCAAATTATTACCTACAGTACAGGATATCAATGACAGGTGCTTCTAGTAGAAACTCACTCAAAGACCAAGTTATAATTATTCAATAACTCCCAGACATTAAAATCCTCTCATAGGATTACCCACCCCGTGAAAAAAGTAATGTACTAGGAGGCACTCCTTCGGTCAGGCAATAGGCCGAAAGGGGTGCCCGAGCCGACGAAAACACACCACCCCTTCGGCTGGAGGATACGCTGAACACACCCTCTCGGCCAAAGGGGGTACCCTAGGACTCCCTTACCACTAGAACACCCATCAAAACCTCTCGGTATTAAGCTGGGCCGAACACCTCCTCGGCCTTGACCTAGGCCGAACACCTCCTCGGCATTGACCTAAGCCAAACACCTCTCCGACCTTGGAGGAGGCCGAACACCCTTTTAGGCCTCATGCCTAGCCGAAGACTTCAACAAAGCAGATCACAAGCAACACTGCCATCAAGGACGAGTCAAACACCTCCTCGGCCTTGACCTAAGCCGAACACCTCCTCGGCATTGACCTAGGCCGAACACCTTTTCGGCCTTGGGGGAGGCTGAACACCCTTTCGGCCTTATGCCTAGCCGAGGACTTCAACAAAGAGCAGATCACAAACAACACGTGGCAAGTTAGATACTTATTATGCGCTAATTACCATGCCAGATTAAGAGGAGATTAAGGCTAACTCAAGTGTTACCCATCTCCCAAGACTGAAGGCCCACCAGGCCCAATTGTGTCACTATAAATACACAGGTGATGTGACATAAAAAGGTACGTTATTGTCCAATATAAAAGCACTTTGATCATCGGAGTGCCTTTGCAGGTACCCTCCCCACCTCACGGAGACAACATCCGGTCGGCAACAAAGACTTAGAAGATCGAGAAGGAAGAACGACAAGAGGAGTGTTTCTACGCAGGAACATTTTGGCGCCAACCGTGGGACCGAAACCAGAACGGTTCTCGACCCTAAAGCAAGATGGTAACAACCAGGAGTCAGCAGGAGAACACAACCGACTACCCTTTCGGGATGCCCCGAGACACCATTAGGCGGCAAACTAACCAGAATGAGGATGGAATGGAAGAGTCGTACGTGGACCGGTCTCAACAGCCTAACCCGTCGTCGGCCATCGAGCAACTGAAGGCCGAAATGATGGAACTCAAAAGGCTCCGAGAAAAGGACGCCCACGAGCTGTCGCTCTTGAGAAAGGAGAATGCAGAGCTAAGAAGCGATAACCGATCATGGCATCCGTCCCACGATATCCTCAACACCCAATCAACCCGGGATCATGGGGAATCGTCCGGATGGTACAAGGAAACGAGGGACCCTAGGCCTACAGCAGGAGTGACGACCACTACCCTTGATCAATAGCGACGACAGGGAAGGACCCTATTCACCCCGGACATTGCCGGAGCCCACCTACCTGACAATTGGAAGAATCTGACCCCTGGAAAAGTACGACGGAACAACCGATCCAGAGGAACACCTTGATGCGTTCGTTACCCAGATCAGTTTGTACACCGAAGATGACGCAATTATGTGTAAAGTTTTTCCCACCTCACTGAAGGGGCCGACACTCAATTGGTTCACGAGGCTTCCCCCCAGATCAGTAGACTCATTCACGGCCCTATCGTCTCGGTTCGTGATACAATTTGCCACGAGCCGTCCTCATCAGCTCACGTCAATCGCATTGGTCAACATCCGCCAAGAAAAGAAGGAACCTCTTAGAACTTTCATGGAAAGGTTCGGAAAAATGACATTATCCATTTGTAACTTGGACCCGGCCGTAGCAATGCATCACTTGACCACGGCGCTGCGACCCAGACCCTTCGTCAACAGCCTGTGCAAAAAACCACCCCGAGACCTGGATGACCTGAGGCAGAGAGCCACGAAATACATGCAGATGGAAGAATTGGCCGAATTTCGAAGTCAGAACCGGCCCGACCTATTTCTCGCCAAAAAAGAAAGTGAGAAGGAACCTTCCAAGCCCCGGCCCCGAGACGTAATTGATCAAGAAAAGAATGCCAGGGGTCCCAGATATATGCACTATACACCGCTCAACACCAGCACAACCAAAGTGTTGGAACAAGCCTTGGCCACAAAAGTCCTAGCAGTTCCTCGGAGAGCTATGACTCCGCCCCACGCGGATAAGACGAAAGCATGTCAGTTTCACCGGAATAGGGGGCACACTACTGAAGAGTGCTCTGCGCTTCGGGATCGCATCGAGGATCTCATCAAAGCAGGCCACCTTCAAAACTTTACCCGGTCGACAGATAATAGAAGGAACGACTACCGTCCTGACCGAAGGGGTGCCTCCTAGTACAAAAGGGAGAATCAGGACCGAGCACCTCCACGGAAATGATCTCGTGAACGCAGCCGATCTCAAGAAAAGAACCAACAGCGAGACCGAGATCAACCTAGACGAATAATCAACACCATCGCCGGAGGATTCGCGAGCGGTGGAAGCTCGTCCTCAACCCGCAGGAGACATCTGAGGGCAATCAAGTCGGTTAACGCCATTGGCCGAGCAACCCCGATTCATATGCCCCCTATTACATTTACTGATCAGGACTTTCAAGGTGTTGACCCCGTGCAAGATGACCCCATGGTCATCAGCGTGGAAATCAACAACTGCATAGTAAAGAAAACCCTTGTTGACCAGGGGAGCTCGACGGATATCCTATACTGGAAAACATTCGAGCAGCTCGGCATCCCTGAACAAGAGCTAACGCCTTATGATGAGCCCTTGGTAGGATTTTCGGGCGAACGAGTAGACACTCGGGGGACAATAGATTTGTACACTTACTTTGGAGAAGAGCAGTATAGAAGAAGGATCAAGGTACGTTATGTGGTGGTGCATGCAAACACATCGTATAACATCTTATTAGGCCGACCCTCCCTGAACAAGCTCCGAGCCATCGTCTCCACTCCCCACTTGGCTATGAAGTTTCCTTCAGAGGAGGGTACGATCATTACTCTGCACGCCGATCAAAAAACTGCCCGAGAATGCTACTTCGCTAGCCTGAAGGTGCCTCCCACCCCGAAACCAAGACTAGACGTCAACGTCATCGGTGACGTCAACCGAATATCGATGGAAGGCTTGGAGCTTGATCCAAGAATGGAGGACGAGGATAGGGTCGAACCCGTAGAAACAACGATTCCTTTCCAACTCAGAAAAAGTGAGGAGCAGGTCACTTATTTGAGCTCCCAATTGTCTGAGACGGAAGCAAAAGACATTAGGCAAGTCCTACAGAAGTACTCGGACCTTTTCGCCTGGATGGCAGCTGATATGCCGGGCATAGATCCAGATTTCCACTGTCATCGGCTCTCGGTGTGCCGCGACGCCAAACCGATTGCCCAAAAGAAAAGAAAAATGGGCGGAGACAGAGCCCGAGCAGTAAAGGAAGAAACGATGAAGTTACTTCAGGCAGGATTTATAAGGGAAGTGAAGTATTCCACCTGGCTGGCAAACGTCGTTATGGTCAAGAAATCGAATGGTAAGTGGAGGATGTGCACCGATTACACAGATTTGAACAAGGCATGCCCAAAGGACGTTTACCCACTACCTCACATCGATGCACTGGTGGACGGAGCGGCGGGCCACAAAAGATTAAGTTTCCTCGACGCGTACTCGGGGTATAATCAAATACCCATGTACCCGCCGGACGAAGAAAAAACGGCGTTCATCACCGACTCGGCAAATTTCT